GCTCGTGCAACAATGGGCCGAGCCGGCTCGGCTTGGCCCATTGACACCACTAAGTTAAACCCTATAAAAATTGAATTAACACAATTCGTTAATAAGTTAAATTAGATATAATCAATTCAGACACATTCTATATGCATAATTTGATAGGAGAAAATGCAAATTTATATTCTATTAGTTTAAAAATTGATTGGAAAGTGAAGATTTGTAGTAGATGTAATAATTTGTAAAGAAATTTTATGCAACTTTTTAAAAATTAAAAGGGTTAAGGTTTTGATAAAAGGCACGAAAAAGAGAGTAAGATAGAGCAAGATAGAAGATAAAAATTTAATTTTATTGTGATTTTTTCCCTGTTTGGTGGGAATTAAAATAAATTTTTAGTAAATTTTAGTAAAAGNGAGAGAAAATCAAATTTATTATGATTTTGCCCCTATTTGGTGGAGATTAAATTCAAATTTTTAGTAAATTTTGATAAAAGTTAAACAATTATGGATTCCATGAAATATGTTATTAAAATTAATTATTAACTTTAATTTAGATTAAAATTTTAGATTTCAATCGATATCAAACATGACTTTATCAGAAAAGAATCTCAAAAATTGGGGGTCACGTGACCTCAGGACCCTTGGGTTCGGTGCCCTGTACACAGGGCATTACTCTTGGGTTCGCCGGTGCCTGCCACCATGGTGTGTGGTGAGAGACTTTAACTTCGTGTGGATGCACATGAGAAAATGGGTTCTCGTCCTTCGAGATCGACAGTAGAAGATTTCTAGGAATTTATTGAAGCTTATAATTTAAGAGGGCTAATTATTATTGGGTTTTTTTAATTTTTATTTTTTATAATTTTTTTTTCTATACGTGTACAGGATTGGAGGCATGTGGAATGTCGGTTGGACAGGGCTTTAGTGATCGACTCCTGTACGGGCATGTGGCATGCCATAGTTTGCTTAGTTTTCCAAGAATCGAATTTCATCATAACCCAATTCTATTATCGTATGTTACTTCAGTTTGTTATATAATCATGTGCCACAGAAAGGCAGGAGAGAGTAGTACGAGGACCACCAAAAACATCGTTAAAGTCTTCAATGTCCAAAAGAGTATTGTTGGAGCTGGAGTTTCTCAATTTTGTCGATGGTTCGCAGCAAAGGAGGTTTGGTTTCATCGTTGTTATTTTAGTTGGGTTTCTACTGTGATATGTTTCCTCGATGGATCACCGATGAAAGAGGTTTTGTTTGATTGTTATTTTTTCGATTAATCCCCAGATGAAAAGGTAGTGATGGTAGGTTGGAGATGGAGGTAGTGGTTGTGGATTTGAGGTGGCGACGGTGATTTGGGTGATATCTGTGGTGGTGGAGTGGGTGGGGTGATATGTAGTGAAATGTGGCAGTGGAGTGGGTGGGACGGTAGGGTGAAATGAAGAGTGGTCGCGACCAATTAATTGGGGAATTTGTTACTAATAAATAATATATAACTATTAAAATGTACAATTTGCGATTAAATAGGTACCCACAAATTGTGTTTTTGTGATTATGACATTGTGTGATTGAAATAATAAATTGTGTATTATTGCGACTATAACCTATTTAATATAATTATAGGTTATGAATTTTTATCAGACGTCACAAAATATGACCACTTTATTTTTGAAAAATTTCCACAAGTTTTTTATTTTTTAAATTGGATTTTGAAACATTTGTAATTATGTATTTTTCTTTTTCGAGATGACAAATTAAACACATATTCAACAATTTTAAAAGGGAGCCGCTATTTTTCATTCCAATTCTTATATTTCTATCTCACTCTAAGTCTATTCTTATTAAATTTTTTTTATTTTGAAGTACTATATTCATATCCACATTATATTCCAACATTATCCTTATTTAATGCATCCATTTAAATACTACATATTCACTCCACTTTTATATATTTATTCCACTCTAAATATATTCATATTCCAATTTTAGTTTTTTTTAAAAAGTACCAAAATATTAAAATATGAAGATCCCGAGATTTAAAACTAACTGCTGTTTAGGGTTTAGGGTTTACCCGAGAAAGCTGAAATCTTAGAAATTAATGGCATTATCCCAAAGGACGAAACTGCACTGCCAGGAGACACCCTCCCTGGGGTGAAGAGGAGCTTTTTTTTCATTTTTTATTTTCACGCGGGTCCCACGTCGGTCCCACACTTATGTAAGAGTAAGTCACCCGGGTGGACATCTTTTTCCTGGCACAATAGCTTTATTCTATCCCAAAAGATGCACCCTGTGAAATGTTGATTTTACGTAATTTATTTTGCTCCACTCGTGCATTTACGTCTAATTAACATAAATAATAAAAGTACTTTGGAATAACTTCATTTCCCTTCTTTTTAAAGGACAGCACATCGGCACTAACTGTGTTACTGTTCATGGTGTGAACAGTTGAAAAAGTAATTATTCAAACGTAAATGATGTACAATTTATATTTTTGCGATTAAATCCATAAATGAAATAACAATTCATAAAAAATCCAACATTTTTAATAAAATAATGCCAAATATTATCCGTGATCAGTGGCGGATCCAGGATCGTTGGTCAGTTAGGATGTTTGTTGACGTTGATCATTGACTGTTGACAATCAATGATCATAATAATAAGATCGTTTATTAATATTTAATTAAATAATATTTATAAATGTTTCTTATTATTATTGGCTTAGCTCCTGTTCAAATGACCTTATGAATTGCTATATAAACAAATGTGAAGTTAATGACCCTCAAAATATTTCAACCGTAAAAATGATAAACAGAAAAGTTAATATGCTTGTATTCTCATATAAGTTCTCCTTGTTCTAAATCCATTTTTCATTATGTGTATTTTTCATCCCAAAACCAAAAATCATACTAGAGTAAAGTGCCACTAGTGAAACCGCAAGAGGGGAAAGTGAAAATTGGTGTGGCGGAGGGCAGTGGCGGAGGTCGATGTCGAAATAAAAATAATTCTTCTGTTTTAACTTGTTCTGAATTTGTAATAATGAAATAAAAATAACAAAAAGAAAAACAAAAAAGAAAAAAAGCTCATAGGGACGGTAGGCGGTGGCGGAAGTCGATGTCGATGACTCGATGGCTGTCGGTAGCAAGCAGGTCCCAAGTCCAACTCACTCGGCATCGGATCGGGCTGCGCAGTCTAGAGAGTAGGGTTTGGAGTCTTCCGTGTATGCTTGCAGATTCGCAATCAGTTTCGGCAAATGACCTATACGGGCTATGGATCTTTGGATAATATTAATGAGGCTATTAAAAAAAAAAAAGAGCCCAAAAGCCAAAAGAATTTTCGGCTCAAATCCGACACTCATCTTACTCCATTTTCCTTCATTCTTAAGCTCCAATCTTTCTGCTGCCTGCAACAATGGTGACTGCCCATGCCCTCCATCCCAACCTGTAAATTCGGGTGGAACAACACGGGTGGCCACTCCACCTCGTCAGGTGCTGGCTCCGCCATTGTCTTGGATTTGATTCCAAATGATTATTAGGGCTTTAGTTAAACATAAAATCAAAAAGAATGTAGAAA